TGCAAATGCCTTCAAATCCTTTAACTGTTTCTTTTGAGTTCTCCAGCCCATTCCTCTTCCCTTGCCTAGCTAAGATATTGCATGCTACCACTGTGGAAAGATTGTAATAAATCCAGTATTTATATCTGAGTAAACTGAAGGGAAGATTTGAAATAAATCTGATGGAAGCAGCTTTTAAATTGGTACTTTCTTCTATGTTGATGAAAATCAAACATTCTTGCGTCCTTAAGCTTGCTCATATGAAAGATACCTAATGACATAATTAGAATTTCACAAAAATATGGCTACTGTTTGAAGGATCTGCTCGCCAGGAGCCTTTGCTCACCTCCAAAACCAGACTCTTTTCAGTCCCAAGAACCAGTGCAGCCAGCCAATTTCTTCTAGAATAAGACTCTCAAGCTTTATTCTGTTTAACGCAATCAAGTGCATTTCTTAACAGTGAAAGGGGTTAATGATAATAATATCACAGAGAATCTAGAAAAATAAAAGCATTCAAACTACATTGGCCTAATGAAGAAGGTTGCTATGCACTCCCAGTTGATAACATATTCACTTTCATGTTCAAACCGAAGCTATTCTATACATATTTTAAATTACATAACATTTCTGTCCAAAGCGCATGAGCTATTAAAAAGAACCCGGCTCATTCTTGATCTTCCTGTTCAAAACTACAGAGAGAAGCTGGGGGAAGAGGTGAAACTACAACTCCCACAATCCCAACAAGTCGCCGGAATGGGGTCATTCGTAGAGTCCATGGCTGGCTAACATTAAAATTCCAGCGCGGAACGCGAGGCGGCGAGAGCTATTCTTGCACGCGGAGCCTACGCCCATTGTTAAAGGAGCCTGGCTCCCTCTTCCCACAGAGACGTGTCAAGGGGGAAAGTGTGGGATGTGTGCCGCGTCAACGAAGGTATTTGTTACTACTACCTTCCTTCCCCCGGTAGCTGTGCGGATAAAAGAATACGACGTGGTTGTTTCTTCATTCACATTCATCGTGAATGCTTCTTTTAACAACCTGACTCCAGTTTGGTTATCCAACTTAAGAGTTAGTTAATTAATAGTTAACTTAAATATTTATCGTAATAGTTAAACTGTTCAGAGGGAGGTTAATGCAGATTCTGAAGACCCTTAGGATATGTCCAGTTTTTCCATGCAGTTGAACGAGGGTTTGAAATCTGAGGCCAGAGGTAGAGGCTGGTGCATGTTTTGGGCAATAAATACACTTCTACGAAATGCAATTCCTAGAAATCAGTCTTTCTCCACTGTCGAGTTAAAGTGCTATCCACTGGAGTTGGCACAAATCAATATCAGCAATTACTACCCATCTCCCCTGTTGAATTCCTATCCTTCCTTTACTGCCTCTGCTCTGACTGGATTCCTGGTTTGTGAGCTTGCTACTGTATAGGGAAGATGATGAGGTTTCTTTTTGGCTTTGCTGCCCTCCTCCTTTATCATGTCTGCAGCCAGCTGGGAAAAGCTCCACCAGCGGACCAATGAAACACAAATTAGGTGGGTCCCTTTTCAGGACGGTTGACTGCCCCTCCTCCTAAACCCAATTTGGGCATCTCCCAAGTAAAACGGACACACACACACACACACACACAAAAAAAAAACATGAACAGCTACTAGGGTTGAAACAGCTACAGAAAAGAGGGAAGCAGATCCTGCTGTAGTTGTGCAATTAGGTAGTTTTGTAGCATGTGTTGTGTGCCATCAAGTAAGTGTTGACTCCTGGAGACTGCCTGGACAAGTCCCTGCAGGTTTTTTGGCAACATTTCAGAAGTGGTTTGCCATTGCCTACTTCACAGGGCTGAGAGAGAGTGACTGGCCCAAGGTTACCCAGCTGACTTCATGCCTAAGGCAGGACTAGAACTCAGAGTCTCCTGGTTTTTAGCCTGGTGCCCTAACCACTACACCAAACTGGCTCACTCTTCTGTAAAGCAGGGAAGTGAAACTGACCAGCTGTTGGGTGTGATTGTACCTGACAAACACTCAAAAACTGGCAAATAAGAACAAAGGCCCAGTTCATAATGCCCCTTATTATTATCTAGATTTTGCAATGAGGAAAAGAGGACTGCTACATCCAAAATAACAAATGCATTTTAAAGTGCAGATAAATTAGAATAGGGAAAAACATTCTTGACTTTTCCAAGTGAATGGGAGAGGAGGGTGTCTGCTTTGTCTCCTTGGAGAAAAGTTGGTGTCAGAAATAGGTGAGGGAAGAGACAAGGTGAGTGGACTTAAAATACATACATATATACCCATCATGCTATTCCCTTTCCCTTCTGCAACATTACGCAGAATGCAAAAGTAAAGTGCTAATGGAATGGGCAAAGGCCTGAGAGAAATGGCTGCGGTGGAAGCTGGGGATGGGTGTGCTTATTCCTCCTGACATATCCAGAGCATACTTCTAGTCATAGCCACAAGAGGTCAGCTGACTTTAACTCCAAGGTTTTGGCTTGAGAAGCTATCATTTGACAGTGTCAAAATGAGGGGAGAAATACTACTTTTATACCAATACAACTAATCACTTTCAACTGTCTCACTCATGGGCTGGGGATGAGATAAGGGCAAAGTTGTTGGGCCAGGAGGGAAAATTGAGGTTGTCGGAGTATGTCTGTTCCATGGTTAAATGCAAGTGGGAACAATCTAATATTTTATTTGATTAGTCTCAACCTCCAGTCACCATCATAGATAAGGGAATTTTAATTTCATTTGTGCCTATTCCCTTAAAAGCAGTTTAGCATTATTTGGAATCATTTTAACAACCTGATTGTACATCAGAATGAACTGGTCACTGATAGGTAATCAGTGTACATTAAATGGGCATGCTATTAAGCATTTTGACAAAATCATTTGCCTTCTCCAATGTAGGGAAGCAGAGCTATTGTTGAGAGTTATCTGCACATCTGGGGGAAGGAAAGAGTATGGCAGTTTGCTGGACAGTCATATTTGCTTTGTGGCAATTTTCACATAGGTAGGCAGGATTCAAACATGCAAATATATAATATACAACCTTTCGTGTCTGTGTGGACATGACATGACCATCACTGCGAACCACAGCTTGGCTGCAAGAACACTCGAGAACTCTGGCTAAGAATCCTAGCTGCAAACCTTCCACTGTTTTCCAATGGCTGTCTCACATAAACCTGGTGTAAAGACTGTTTATGGTTAAAATAAATCTGAGGGACAACTTGCAAATAAACTTACCACAAGAGATTCCCTCAGGTTTATTCCAACCAAAAGTAGTCATTGCATCTGGTTGCATGGCTTCCCTGCTGGTACATGAAGCATGGATGGGTGTTTGCAGCCATGGAACTAGGAAGAGGAGTCATCTATCATCACGGAGCTAAACTACATTTGGCAGTTGATGTATCATGTGAATATGCCCAGTGGTTAGGTACCAACAGTGTAATTCCCTTATAAAGAGAACAGTAGAAAACAAAATGGATCATAGGATAAAGATGGAAATGCTGGCTATCAAGTGAAGATTGAGCTATGCACTTGTGGATTGTGAATATGCTAATAACATACAAATAGTGATAGGTCTATATGAATCAAGCTACGTATTGTGCTGACTGGAATAAATAAATGTCATTAAAAAAATGATGCATTATAGATTTAAATTTATAAAATTAAATGTATAAATGTTTTTTTAAAAATTAACAAGGAACAGATCCTTGTTTAAAGCTACAAATAGTTAACTCCTATGTGATAAATTATTGCTTATTATTGTATTTTATGGATTGTCATGGAGAAAATTTATGTGATCACTAAGAGTTGATAGCAACTTAATGGCATATATTGAATCAATGGGTTATTAAATTTAGTGGTGTCTACAGGCTCTCACTGCTTTCACTAGAATAACAAAAAAGTCCTTGGGGCATGTGTGCAGTGTCACAATTCATGTGGAAAAGGAGTAGGACTTGAATTGCAATGTTACTTGCGTCACTGTGACCCCCTTTTGCCCAAGACGCTGCTGGTTATATTCTATATACTATGTTTTCTTTTCTTTCTTTCTTTTTAATGATGTTAACTGCTAGGAGTCCTTGATGACTGCAGCAGAATAACAACTAATATAAAATATATGGATTGGGGGGGTGTCTGGTGTAGCACGTTGTATGAAACATGGTTTTTCGTGAAGCAGATCGTGTAAACTGTGCATTCGAAGGAGCAGGCTTTGAAGCCAAATGATGAAGATTCCCAGCAATCTTGGGCCATCACCCCCCCCCCTCCATTTTAAGACAAGATTTAGATGCTGGCAATTTGCAAATTACTTGATTGGCTAGATGATATATTTCCCTGATGTTGATAAGCAGTGAATGCAGATGTTACTAGAAATTACCTTGAAGTAACCTTGAAGGTCTTTTTTTGTTTATCTTTGGCTGAGAAAGTGTAGCTATAATTCACGCCAGAGGCTTCTAGTGCCTTTTTTATCGGTTTCCTGGTGGGGTCACTGGTAAGAGATATAATGTCCTTTCTCAAGCCAAATAGTTTTCTGTCTAACAAACAAGCAATATAAATGCTTCAACATTGTGGCTAACAAATAATTATGATTTCTAAACACTCATAACCACAGGCTATATTTCCCAGTGAGAATATCATAAAGTCAACAGCAGATGGGAAATTAAATCACAGTAGTAACTTGAGCTTCTATTTTCCTTTTAATGATCAAAGGTTTTAAAGAAGCGGATTTATGTATGCCGCAATAGGTACAATGTGCAGGTCCTAATGCATCTCAGGAAGAATTGCTCAGAAATAATAAGAGAAAAGGACTACAGCCCATGAGTTCTGCTTCTGGAGATCAGTACAGAAAGAAAATGGTAGAATACAGGCACTGTTGGCCAATTCTGTAAAAAAAAAAATGCATTTCTTTTGAGCAGAATACACATGGCACTGGCGCTTGTCTTTTTTTCAGTGTCTTAGATTAAAACTTTACAGGAATGAGCTGTTGTAATTTCTTTGCTCCTCTGCATTTGGACAGCTGTGATTGGCTGCAAGTGAAGCTCCCATTCCCCGCCCCAGCAAAGACTATCTGAGCTGGCTTTCAGTCTGAGGAATAATCTATATGCATACATAACATGGAGACTTCCACAAAGGTGAGAACAAAGTGGGATTATGATATAGCTCAGGAGCTGCCGTGTTGCCGTTGCATTTGTGGAGATTTTTTTCACACACTTTCATACTTCTCTGTTTGAGAGCAGTAGCTGCAACCCTCTGAACAGGCTTGTCTGTGCATAATCTTCTGTCAAAAAGGATATTTCATGGGGGATTTGTCTAAAAAAGTAATAGTGGAGTTAATTCAACTTTAAAGAAGTCAGGATGAAAAGTTACAGTACCATTTTAATAATCTTACTGTTCTGGGTGGCTAAAATCTGATAGCCATTAGTTTTCTATATCTCTTTGCTGCAAGTTAGTGATAGTTTGGTCTTTTGCTGCCCGGGACTGGTAGTCTCTACATCTTAACCTTCAAAAAGGTCTTTAAATTACATACAATTTGAAGTTTGACATTAGTGAGCTTACAATTGCAGCTTTCAACTTTTTTCTTCTTTTTCTTTTTCCTGCAGCCCGTTCTTTACACTTACTTCAGAAGCTCCTGCTCCTGGAGAGTGCGAATTGGTAAGGATAACTATTGAATTCTAGGTATAGGAATACAGTATTGCTAATTTGGAGAGTTTTATTTTTATTTACTGAAATATGACTAATCAACTAATCACTGATTGAGTAAATTACAGAGTGGCAAAGATATAAATGAAAAAGTCACTGTTTTGTGTGGATTGGGAGAGCCTCTTCTTTACGGTGGGATGGAAGTAGAGAACCTGATTCATTACCTGTTAGACTTTCAACTTCAGTTCCAACCAGAATGACTAGTAGCAAAGGCCTTTGGAAGCTGTAGTCCAAAACAGCTGGAGAGCACTGTTAAAAGTTGGGAATGGTATGCAATCTGAATGCAAACTCTTGTATATTCCACATTTTCTCAGCATGTGTAAGCAATGGAGGAGGCGGTATCCCATATTCACAAAATATATAGGCATGCATTCCACGTAAAAATGTTTAACTATGCAATATGTCTTTAAATAGCCCAAAATGTTTGTGATACATACTCCTTTGTTTTAACATATGAAGTCTCCATGCATCAAATGAAGTTGATTCAAGTCCATAAAAGCTTACATTATTGTAAATGTGTTAATCTTTAAAGGGCCATAGCACTTTTTGTGTAGCAGATGAACCCAATTACTCCCTAGAAACTCAAACCTTTCAGAAAGGTTTAGGAGTGGCTGATCCTTTTCTCTTTAAAAGGTGGTCCTTTTTAAAAAAATGAAATTCTGACATTAATTAGAATTGCAGTTTGAGCATAAAAAATAGCACAATCCAGAAGTCTGCAGATACTACATTTTTCCCATATATCCTGGGATTAAAGGCATCCTAGTAAAAGTAAGCTTAAAAGTTATAGAAACTGAAGTACAATAAGCAAGAATGGTTTTAGCTAGCTAGTACGGTTTAGATAACAGAAGCTAATGGAATTTCAAGAATTGATTATTTAAATTACAGGATTTATGGAAAAAGCAGTGACATTTTTTTATTTTGGATTTACATGGCAAAGGAATAAATCTAAAAGCTTTTATTGATTTTATTGTTTATGATGAAAGGCAATTAGTGGAGGATGCAAGAACGGTAAGAGGTTCGGAATGTGAGAACATTTCTTAATACTGTCAAGAGTGGATTTTAATGAAAAAAGTTAAATAGTGAACAGAAGTTAAAGAAATAAAAGTGGAAGAAGAAATGCAGGAAGGGAAAATACACGTCTTGTGTGAAAAACTGTTAGATTACTCTTCTACCAGACTAAATGGAAAGTGGATGTAAGGAAAGAGGATGTGGAAGATTTTTGGAACCCAGTAAAAAAAAATGTATTACCAAGTGCCACAAACTCATGCAGAGGTACACAAATGGGAATTGTGAAAAAGATGCTTGATGGAATGATGAAATGAAAAAGAATATAAGAGAATAATTGTTTCATATATAACAATGAAAGATACCAAATAAGTGTGTACACTTAGAAAAAGATAGCTGCGAAAAATATTGTCAAAGTGAGCCAGGAGGGGCTAAGATTGTGTCTTTTCTCCCATAGCACCTGCCCTATAGAACATTCTTCTTCCAGAAATTAGGATGGCCCTGAACCTGCCGCCCTTTCACAAGGCCTGGGGCCCTAAGTGTGTGAAGGGTCACATCTCCTGGTTGTGCAAGCAACTGTTGACTGTGATACATGATGGAAATGAAGCTTGTGTAAGAAGAAAGAGAATGCTCAGTGAATGGTTCAACATTAAACAGAAAGTAAACATTGGGGCATTCATTTAATATTTAATATTATAGCCTTGCACTGCAGAAAAGTGAGGCCAGATGTCCATGAGACAGTGGTAGATTGTAGCATGCATGCAAAAGTCCCCAGGTTTTAGTCATTGGACTCCATCCATCCATCCATCCATCACATTTATATAGCTGCCCATCTCACAAAAAAGTGACTCTGGGTAGTGTACAATAAAAGTATAAAACAGTAATATAAAAACAATTAACAAATCCAGAGAATGAAAAAAATTGATTAAAAGGCAAAGTGAGGGCAGCAGATATTATCAGCATTGGAGCCACCTCAGCAACTCACTGGTCCCTTGGGGTCCCCAGGCCCAATGGCATAACCAAATTGAGGGAATCTGAAAGATTAACAGGGATGGAGCCAACCTCACTTCAGGAGGGATGATGTTGCATAAGGCAAGTGCCATGGCAGAAAAGGCCCGTCTCCTGGGTCTCGCCAAATGTAGCTCCTTGGCAGACAAAACCTGCAGCATACCTGGTCAATGTATTGAGCAAAATAAGCCAATAGTCTGATTGAGCTGTGAAATTGCTATACCATATAGCCAGTTTACAAGTCAACCTGTATATATTTTGTGCCTTTGAGTTAGTCTTGACTGCTGATGACTGCCTGGACTAGTCCCTGCAGTTTTCTTGGCAAGATTTTTTAAGTGTTTTGCCATTGCCTTCTTCCTAGGGCTGAGAGAGAGTGACTGACCCAAAGTCAATCAACTGGCTTTGTGCCTAAAACAGGACTAGAGTTCACAGTCTCCCAATGCCTGGCTTGGTGCCTTAAGAACTACCCCAAACTGGGTCATATTAAATATGTCACATTTAACTTTTGTATTTTGCTCAATATATTTTTTATTGATGTTTCTTAATAAAAAGTGCTTTTAATCTGTTATCAGTGTACCTTCTGGTGGAGCATGCCAGAAAATATATTACAAACAAACAAATGCTTATGATAGCATTACAAGATGTTTCAGGTTTGTAAGTACAAAGATGAAATAATGCAGATTCAGCATTTTTAAAAGGTGTGAGATAATGAAAGAAAAAAGTCAACATGAGACTTTGGTCTAGATATAACCTAGTTCCTGTGCTAGCTGGGAATTATGCAAATTTAAGTTCCAACATATCTGGAAGGAAAACATAGGGACAGATGGATTTAGGCCATAACCTTCAGGGCAAATTAGGCATGATATCAGCATTTACATTTGATCTTGCACATATTTGCCTGTTCGTACATAAAGTCAGGTATTTATTTTACAGTTTTTGTAACTTGCCCCATTCATAGGGACTGTAATAATAATAGGCACCGAAACCTACAATGGTATTGAGAGGAAAAGCCACAACCCAAGATATATGCCGTAAGATAATCAGCTCAGATTGAAAGCATGACAGAATAAAGTTGTTTGAACTGCCTTATGGAACGCTAGGAGGGAGGTAGGCTGCATGAACCTCTGCAGGTAAAGAGGTCCATAAGTTGGGGCCACAGCTGAAAAGGACAGCCTTCTCATCCATGTCCTCCTAACCTAGGGAGTGGGACTTGAAGCAGATTCTCTTTTTGGACAGGCTGATTCAGTCTTGGCAAGGCAGTGTCTAACAAAGACTAACTTTTATTTAAGACACTGCACATGGATTAAGCAGAATTGAATTGCTCTCCTTCTCCATGGAGGGCTAGTGGCAGCTACTGGCATCTTTGATCAGTTGTCAGAGGCCAAGCATTTCAGCTGATGCTGATCATGAGATAACTTGTAAAAACAGGCTAGGTCTGGGAGCTGCCCATTATTTATCTGATGATTAATCACTAAAGTCCAGTGTGTAAAAAAAGGCAATATGTAACCAGAAGCTTATTTTTTCAGGACATTCCTCAGTCTGGAATCAACCCTACCCAGTCTTTGATGGTGTAGGCATTTTTTTTCCCAGCCTTGATTTGCTTCAGTCACTGGAGTGGGATGGCGATGGGGGAAAGAGACCAACAGGACAGAATGTCACCTCATCTATGTTTTGTTATAAGAATAAGACATGCTATCCCATTCTGTACTTGATGGGTGAACAGGGCAAACACTCTGTTCACATATTGAGGCACACAGTCATTTGTCTCTTAGTAATATAAATGTAGCCTTTACAGTTTTGTAAAACATGGGTTATTCAAGAAACTGGCCTGGCACAAATAATGGTTCATTGAATAACTGTCGTTAAGTAAACTGTGCTTAGTATGGGGTGCAGATCAGCTCATTATCAAGAACTGCTATCTTTCAGTTTGGCCAACTGCTAAGAATGGGAAACAACTATTATTGATTTAATCATTGTACAGTCCATTTTATTCAGAAACAAAGTACTGGTTTTCATTGCTATAGATTTGTTAAGAATTCTTGCAATATTATTTTACTGATTTTGTGTGATTATAATTTAGAAAATATCACAGAGAAGTTTAAAAATCTAAACAACTCAATATTACAGCAGTAACTGTATTCAATTTTCTCTTGGTAGCATTGGCTCTAAAGGGAATCGCCTATGAACAAGTATCCATAAATCTTGTGAAGGATGGAGGGCAGCAGGTAAGGAAATCCCTATTACTATGGTCATTGACCAAAAAAACCCCAGTATGTAACAAACCTGGAACCAATCCAGTAAGGACAGTCTTAGCTGTAAAACATGACTAGACAAAATATTATAAAACCAGAAAACAGTAAAAGCAACATACAATTAATATGAAAACGATGTAAATGTAATAATATAAAAATGAAGTTTAAAAAAAAGCTACAGTAATTAGAATGATTAAAAAATACAGAATATGAAAAGGCATATGGCTAACTTAAACAAGTTTAGCAAATCACAAAATTATAAAACTGCTATAAAGCAAAAGAGGAAAATGACATCAATTATTATCAATTTGCAGATTATTATCAGTTTGTTCTATTCAAGTTATATAAACAATGTAACAGAATTTAGAGATATGTTTAAAAACTAAGGCACTCTGATCTGACAGCAGGTAATTGAAAACATTGTAGTCTGATAGCAAAAAATCAGAAGGAACATGGTAACACCTTTTACTACTAACAAATTTTAATTAAAAAATTAATAAAATGTGTTAGTTGGAAAAGGTGCTACCGGCGTCGTCCTGATTTTCTTTAGGTAATTGAAGATAAAACAGATCTGAATGTCCTGGGAAATTGACTATGAGAGGGAGAGATCCAGTGTTCTCAAATATCATTATACATTCTACAGTACAAAAGAAAATGAGGTTGGATTTCAATATCCCCTTCCATGGGGGCAGGTTCTTCCCTTGGCCAGTTTCCTGAGAAGCAGACTCATTTTATCCATGGCAATTTTGTTATTTAAGAATCTACTGTCTCCTGTAAGATCTCAAGTTCTTTAAAGAGGATCAAAATGAACCTTCCCAATGTGCTTCTGAGCAGTTCAAAGGGAATTTAGGAAGAAGTTAATTATTCTTCTTTGAGGCATCTGGCCAACCACTGTGAGAAGGAAGATACCAGATGGGGTTTGGTCTAATCCAGCACCACTCTTCTTCTGATCTTAATCAGAAGCCTGTTTTTTGCTCATTATAATCAGTAGTGCAAGGTAGACGTTCTCCTGCGGTGCTTTTCAATAACTAAGTTCTTTAACTGGGTCAGGAATCAAAATCAGTGATATTCCATTCTTGGTTGATTGTTTCATGCTGATGGCACAGGGCCTTCTCCCCTAGTAGGTTATATCCTGAAGACCATCTCAAAGGGAGCAGGAGGTGAAAAGGGGGTTCCTGGTTTTGTGTGTGTGTCTGTGTGCATGCATAAGATAAGGATATGAAAAAGATGGCCCGCTTACATCCTTTTTGTGCCTCCCCAGTAGGTAGGATCAACCTTTAAGTCCTTCCTGGCACTTGGGGGAGATTTTTTGCAAATATTAAGAAATAAAATGGGAGTCTAAAGTTCCATGGGTACTTAAGGCACCTGTTCCTTATCATTCCCAAAACTATTCCCCCAAATTGACTCCTGGACCCGCCCATTTTTTTAAAATGTGGCTTCTAAAACTTGATATTCTGTTCAAAACATGGTGCTAGAGGGAATGAAATTATACATATATGGCTTATGGAGTGATAGCTTATTTGCAGTTCTTTTGTGTGTGTGTATTTCCCTGAGGATTACAGCTTGCCTTCTGTGAAATGGATATTTTGTTCTGCTTTTCAAAGGCAAGTATGTGATTTGTCTTTGAAAGCAAATTGATCTGGCATTTGGAGTTCAGAACCCATTTCTTGTCCACCAGTCAAATTAGTCACCCTGATCCTCATCACTTTACTTTTTATGATAGATTTTTGTTATTTATGATGCCCAGTGTAGTTGCTATTGGTCAATGGGTAAAATGCTTCATTACAGGAAGGGTAACAAGAACCACAACACTCAAAATTAGAAATGTAATGGTATATGTAACTAGTATGTGTATCTGTATCTGTGCATGGTATGTGAATGTTGCATTACAACAGGAATGTTTGAGGGTCTAGTATTATGGTTGAAGCAGGTGGCAGCTGTGTCTGGACTAGGAAGTTGTAAAACATCTCAGGAGAAAGCAACACAACCACTTCAGTGTTGTCAGCAAGAAAATTACATGGAGCGTTTATGAACTCACCAGGAATTGAGCTTGTCTTGAGGGAGTCTTTATCTTTCCATGGAGAATGCAGTAGAATATATGTATCAGTGGATTTCAGTGTATGGAGGATACTGTGTGCAAGTGTGATCCTGAAAGGGGAGACATTTAGTTTTATGAATGGAGTGACAAGACTATACCTCATACTCCCCTAAACTCTCATCTTTGGAAGAACTTCCTTGAACAGAAAGTTTTGATGTGCTAGGTTTAAGTTGAAGAATCCAAGGGCCTGAGAAATTATCTTGTCTCTCCAGATGACTTCAGACTTTCAAGCAGTGAATCCAATGCAGCAAGTCCCTGCCATCAAAATCAATGGCATCACCCTCTCCCAATCTGTAAGTAAGCAATTTCTGTTAATTAATTACTTGATTCTGTTGGCTACACTGAGGACTTTGTACTCCATGCAAGATTGCAGTTTTTTGACAGGAAGGTTATCTTAGCCATATGAATAAATTCTTTGCTAATGTTGTTTGAAAATCTCATCCAATTTCGTATGGTTTCCAGTATGAGTCAAAAGATTCCACATTGATGGTTTCCAGAAATGGAATTTGTGTTTTAGAATGAGTTCATATGACACCATAGGTAATGATACAGTTTGTAACTTACTGTGAATCTAGCAACTATGGTTGGAAACCATGATTGAATGGCAACATGTGGCTCCCAGCAAGCATTTTGCAGCCACTAGAGTATTCCCTGATTATAGGGCTGGAAGTTGGGGGGGGGGGAAGCACTAATTTTAGTGGTGCAGTTTTTCCTGCTGTTGGTTTTTTCCCTCAAATGTAAGGGCAAAGTGCATTTTCCTAATTTAACCTGCCCCCCACCCAAACAAAAGCCGAACATTTTTACCTACTTACTCTGGTGATGTCATTGCATCAGAGGTACTGTCCTTGAGTCCATGGAAGCCAAGGCACAAATATGGAGCTTTTTAGAAATGCACTCCCTATTGGTAGAAATCTGCCCAACAAATGTAGGCCCTTTTTCGATGGCTCAGATAAAGTGCTCTCCACCCATCCTTCAGCCAGCAAGAAAACTAAACCAACATAAAATATGCTGTCCCTCCTGCCAATACTTATACTTCCTTTGTAGCCTCTATTTTGGATTGCTATTGGTTTACTGCTTTGTTTTTGTTGCCCTTCACATTTCTGAACATCATCAGCCAGCAGGAAACCATTAACCAGTCACAATATTATTGTGATTGACAGATATTTTAACAGATGGCTCCGCCTGCAGTTTTAGACTTCTGTCAAAGCCTGTTAGCATTCCCAAGCCTGCTGGAAAGCTGATCCAGGAGGTGGGTGTTGCCCTGTAACCTGCAAGGAGCTGTCTAATTTCACTAGTTATCTTCCTCAGCATAATGATCGTCCGCTTGGTGGGCTTGTTTTGACATGGGTTCCAGTACTAATGTTAAACCCACAGCCCAAATAAGCTTACAGGCCTGCAGCTGAGCCAGGGGGCAGGGTAAGGGCTATCTGGTGAAACAGGATTTATTGTTTTAGTGGGCAGCCCCATTGCTGATCATCTGTTTGGCAGGCTTGCTTTGAGCAGAAGACAGCTAATCTATAAGGAGAGCTGATGGTAAAATAAGAGAAGCTTTACTGCTACTCCCTATGTGCTAATCAGGTTCTCCCACTGCTGCCCAGTAAGCAGTAAAGCCTCCATTGCTTTACTTGGTCGATCAGCTGCCCAGCAGAATGATGGAACTCTGTGACAAAGGAAGAGTGGTGGCTGTCTCGGAATCCACAAGCTGTCACCTTTACCATTATACTCCTTCATGCTGCTTGTTCAACAGCAGCTAGAAACTATACCCTGCTTTTCCCCCCAAGGAGGAAAAAAAAAGAATGTGGCCCGTGGAGGGTATCCTGAATCCCAGAGGAAAGGGTATGCACAGCACTAGTCCAAAGTGACCAACAGGTGATAGGCTCATCCTGCCCCTTATGGATCACCTGAGTATACCACCATCAGCAGGGATAAGGAACCATGACAGATTATCTTCACCCTTAAACTGTCATTGGTTGCTACTGGCCTAAAAAGAAAACACATGTACAGGCAGTCCCTGGGTTAAGAACATCCGAATTACAGACAACTCATACTTACAAATGGGCTGAAATCCACTGCTGAAGCCAGCTCATCAGCTCCAGAAGGAGAACTCCGTTCGCCATTTTTAGTAACAGACAGCCCATTTATAAGTACGAGTTCCAACTTACATACAAATTTGAGTTAAAGACAGGCTTAGGAACGGAACTCATTCTTAACCCTGGGACTGCCTGTATCATTGATACAGCTAACCATGATTTAAGACTGTTTCATACATGAGCTGAGGACAAGATGAAGGCAACATTATGGGGAGCCTGCAGAATAAAGATGATGCCAGAGTGGGCAAAGATCCTTAATATGTTGCACAAACCCTATGTTTTTGTTTGAATAAACCATGGTTAAGCAAATTATGGTTTAGCATGTTATGTGAACACAAACCTTAACATACAACAGGATTCTGGGAAGTTATGAACAAATTTGAGGGGAGTTGCAGTCCCCAGAGCTGGGATTTGAGCTGAACATCCATCATCTTTCTTCAACTCTTGGCCGGGCTGCCCTCTCTCCTTGCACCCATGAAGGTGATGCCAAGTCACTCTAGTGGCTGCAGTTCTTTTCTCCTCCTTGACTAAAAATAGTCAAGCAACAACCTCCAGAACAGGTTGGTGTAGAGGCTGAGCCTGCCATGGTCCACACTCATGCCCTGCTCACATCCCCCCACACTGCTTGTATGGATGTACTTGTCAAGGGATCCAATGGAAACAAGCAATGAAAGGTGAATCTAAGTGGTGGGGAGGGTGGGGAGAGTTGTGCTAGGTCTTATGCTATGCTGGGCTTATGGGTGCTAGGGCTTATGCTTCCTGGGTTTTTCTTTGTTACAGTAATTGCCCTGCCACTCATTCTAGTAAAATTCCAGAAAGGGGAGTAAAGATGAGGATAATAGTAAGAATAGGAATACACATTAATAAGTCAATAAAGTCTGAAGAGCCAAGTTAAAAAGAAAGACAACCTTGATACTGAAGAGTTTTCCTTTTCTTTAACACCAAGCATTTAAGCGGTTTCTGTTGAAGGAACCCTTTTGTATTCCTGGAGAACAAGGGCCTACCTGTGCAAAGACTACTGAAACAGGTTTTGTAACTCTAACAGAAAAAAATCCTCATTTACAGGAAATACAGGAAGTGGGGTGGGCAGAAAAACCTGGTATCCAACTGGCTACATCCTCCTAGAAGGAGATCCAAGAGGAGAGATCTCCCTTTCATGTGTGCCTAGGAATAAAGGCAAAGAGGAAGACCTTGAATTAGCAGTCTGGTAAACAAAGAGCAGGCAGAGTACGAAATAAAGAGGGAACACAGAGGGAATTCCTAACAATCCATATCTACTGCTTCTTGTGGTCAGTAGATTATGAGGCACTGAGAAACAATGCATCTGAAGTCTGATTGTCAACAAACTCCACGCTGGTATTGGGGGAGATGGAAGAGGTGACAAGGGTGGAGGGTGATGTCCCTCCACCCAAATGGACATGGAAAATATTTACGTATCCTAAAGAGAATAAGCAGATTAATCTGTATTTTTGTTTTTATATCACCCCCATGGTGTCCTCACATTACTGTTATTATTAACAATGATTAACATAACCATTGTTTTTGTTTGCATACTCTCTAACAGGACGCTGTTGGAAATATACTACATTTTGTATGTAGTTTAATGTTGCACTTTAGCTTCTTCATGTGCTATTACTTCATCTGTTTTGTGGTCCCACCAGTTCTTCCTTGCAGGCAAATACCATTGCAGATACTCTAATGCACCATTGTTGCTACTTTGTCATGCCAGTTTGACAAAGTTGTTTGTAGTCAGTCTGTGTGATCTTCTTGCAGCAGCTAACTAGATGGTCCACTGTTTCTTCAGCTTCTTTGGAGAGGCGGCATTTGCTGTTGGTTGCTGTCTTCTCAATTCTGTCTTTGTATGCATCTTTGTTCTTAAGGCT